GCCTTAGCCACTTGAGCCACAGGCACCAAGCCCAGGAAGGAGTTTCTTTCTTGCTTTTGTAAAGGTCCTGTTGATGGGTGCCTCAGGGTGGGCTGGTACCTTGCTTTCTTGAAGCCATCCAGAGACCTGGTTCCTTCTGTCTTATTGCTCTGCCATGCCCTGGGGGGTTGCTGTGAACCATGTGGTCACTTCTGGCTTATAGAAGAATCCACCTTACAGAGCAGGCTGGAGTGATGTCATTGTAGCTGCTCCCTTCCCATTGGCCAGGTGTGGTCACATGGCCACACCTACCTGCAAGGGAAGCTCAGCAATGTCATTCTAGCTGACAGCTATATATTCTGTTAAAATTCAGGGATGGGTGTTTTCATTCTAAAAGGAAAAGGGGAGGATAGATTCTGGGGACAAAGTGATAAGTGGTGGAGCCAGGATCTGTGCCCAGGTGGCTGGCTGCTTCAACCCTTCCCCCGCCCTTCTACCTCCCGCCAGGTGGACATCATGCAGATGTGCATTGTGGAGCTGAAGGACAGGCCGGGCAAGCCCCTCTTCCACCTGGAGCACTACATTGAGGGCAAGTACATCAAGTACAACTCCAACTCAGGCTTTGTTCGTGATGACAACATCCGCTTGACTCCGCAGGTGAGGCCCCAGACTCACCCTGCCTGCATCTCCACCCTGTGCCCACCTCAGCCCTTTGGAATGGGAGCCTGGCCAGGCTCAGCCTCTTGAGTCCTTATGCATATGGGGTCTCACACCCCCCGAGGACCCTCAAAGCCCCTTGGAGTATTCTGTAGGAGACTCTGTACTGGTATACCCATCGTCTCATGTTGACTTCTGTTAGCTGTCAGCAGACCTCAGGTAGTCACTGGTCAGCCGCCCTAAGGTCCCTGCTAATTGAACAAGCCCTCTTCCTTTGTCTTTTCCTCTATACACTTCCTTGTGGAGAAAGCCCCCCCAACATGGGCTGAGCTGGGGCATTTCATCCCAGGCCTAGTGGTTCACCAATGTCTGCACAGCCCACAGCCTGGTCTCTTTTTTTTTTTTTTTTTTTTT